GTAATTGGCCGCTGTTCCCCCTAGAATGACACGCGCATCCGCAGGTATCGGAAGCGGCCTGGCAGTGTGTATGTGCTTCATCATCGTGCCGGTGTACTTCGACCGCAGGCGTGGCATCGCGAATGCAATAATGATGGCAGGCATATGCATGGGCGAGATCATAGGCCCCCCGTTTATAAGATATCTTCAAGACGAATACAGCTTCAAAGGAGCAACTTTAATACTGGGAGGAGTTATCCTGAACGGCTGTGTCGGAGCAGCGTTCTTTCACCCCGTGGAGTGGCACATGAAGACCGTCTCGGAAACGCCGAAAGGAAGTGAAGAGGAAGAGGAAGAGGAAGGCGCGTCGACAAACAGATCCATTGCCCGCGCCTACAACAGAGTCACTTCCACTTCCTCCTTAGGAATCAGGGCCACGTACTCGGATTTGCTCAGCATGAGGAAGGTGGCGTCTGGCGCTTCCTTGGCCTTCTCCAAGACGTACTCCGGCATATCCCTGAGGGGCATCAGTGAGGACCTGGAGGAGGAGAGCGGCCCCATCCACCCCCAGGTCAGGAGGACCGCGAGGCACCGCTACATAAGCGAATGCTCCTACGACTCGGTTCCCTCCTTCTACAACTCCACTCTGTCCATCTCGTCCATGGCGCTCGCCAACCACGCCGCCATCTCTGCCATGAGGGAGCGAGAGAAGCCCCTGGAGACCACCGAAGCCGGCGGCAAGAAAGGCGGCGACACTCAGCTGCATCGCTTGCTGAGCAGCATCGTTGCAGATGTTAAGATTCTTACTTATTCCTTGCGCGCAGTCATCATATCACTTGCGAGCTCATTCTATGCAAACGGCTATTTGAATTTCATAATGATGGTGCCCTTTTCAATGCAAGCATCAGGTTATACGCTCCAAGATTCTACTTACTGCCTCTCCGTGGCTGCCATTTGCAACTTGATATCACGCTTATCGATGTCGCTGCTCTCTGACTGGCCGTGGTTCAACATGAGGCTGTGGTATCTGGGCGGCCACGTCGTTCTCGGGGGCGCGATGGCAGGTGAGGTAGTGCTTTCTCCCCGTACTTATACAGTATAAACATGCTGAATAACGTCTGTTAGTGTATGAATAAAGTTATAAACTTGCTGGCTGAAGTAAAAGTTAGTGTATGAATAAGTTATAAACTTGCTAGTCTGAATAAAGAATTCTTTATTTCTCATACTACAGGCTGATGATGAATTAGTTTTTATTCTTTCATTGAATACTTTTCGCGCAGAATTAATAATAATAGACTTTTTTTTACAACATTCTGCAGCGTTCCCTCTGCTGCCGAGCCTGACGTGGATGGTGGTGGCCATGGGCATGCTGGGCCTGGGCATCGGGTCCAGCATGAGTCTCAACACGCTCATCATCATCAACATCATGGGCCTCGAGAACCTGGCGCCGGTCTTCGGGGCTTCCTCCCTCACCGTCGGCGTCGGCTTCGTCGCCCTCGGCCCCGTCATCGGTGAGGCCTCGCCGGGGCCGCCTGGCGCAGGGCGGAAGGGGCTGGCCAAGAGCCGGCTTTTGCAAAGAATTAAGAATATGCACACACACACATACACACACACACACACACACACACACACACACACACACACACACACACACACACACACACACACACACACACACATATATATATATATATATATATATATATATATATATATATATATATATATATATATACATATATATATATATATATATATATATATAATATATATATATATATATATATATATATATATAATATAATATATTAATATAATGTATATGTATATATATATATATATATAATATATATATATATATATATATATATATATATATATATATATGTGTGTGTGTGTGTGTGTGTGTGTGTGTGTATATGTATATATATTTATATATGTGTGTGTGTGTGTGTGTGTACGTATATGTATATTTTGCTTATGTGTTTCTGGTAATAAGATTCGCTTACACGGAAACATATTCCATCACCGATCTCCCTCCGCTCCCCCAGGGTCCATCCGCGACGCCACAGACAGCTACCTGGTGAGCATGTGGATCTGCGCCGGGATGATCAGCTTCAGCGGCATCCTGTGGTTCTTCATGCCGGCCGCCGTGAAGTACGATGCCGAGAGGGATAAGCGGAAGGGCCGGGATGGGGAGGAGGTGTAGCGGAGTGTCTCTGAAGGGCCGGGATGGCGAGGAGGTGTAGCGGAGTGTCTCTGAAGGGCCGGGATGGCGCGGAGTCTCTGAAGGGCGGGATGGCGAGGAGCGGAGTGTCTCTGAAGGGCCGGGATGGCGAGGAGCTGTGACGGAGTTTGAGCTCTCCTAAATAAAAGAGAAAGATGGACGTTTTCTGGTGTTTTTCGTCCATTTCAAAAGAAGGTCGTCGCATTCGTCAAGTATTCCCTCGGTGGTGTTCTCCCTGGTGCAGTTCTAGCTTTGAGTCATCACCACTAATGCCACTTAGTAAGAAACTTCTTGGATTTTAATTCAGAGGAAATGGAGGGAAGTGGAACGGCTTGATGAATATTTGGAAATGGCTGTGATGAATTTATGTGATATTTGATGCGACAGTGGCTTTTGATCGGAAAGGGCAACTGGACATAATGGGACATAAAAAATGGAAACAGCTGATATATGATAAGGATATTATTATCTATTAATTAGCTCACAAATGCTGTAACTATTGTTAAAATATGGATTTTAATAATCTCGTTAGTTATCCTTTGTTAGTCGTCACATTGCTTCACTTGGCCATTTCAGCAGCAATATATCATAATGGATGTTTAAGGACCTGAGGAATGCTGCTGGTGTGGCACTGTGCAAGAATCACCGGAGGAATTATTGTCATGGACGACATTATATAACCTCACCCAGGGTCAGTGTTTTCCATTCAGAGGAAGAAAATGACAAGATCTTGATTTGCAGAGAGAACAAACTGCAACTTCGTGAAGGTCGCCGGCCATGTCACTTCTTACTGTGACTTCTTGTACCAGAATTTTAAATTTTTTGTCAGTTGCTTGTGATTTTAAGGGAAACGAGTGTAGATTCTTTATCCTTTCATGCTATAGAAAGTCCAAGGTGCAAATATCATAAGAAAAGTCAATCCTGATTAGCGACTCGGGTCAAATATGCTAAAAATATGTATTTACACATACATAAACTCCGGAATATCCTATAAGAGACACACCCAAGAAACCGAAAATGATTTCGAACTAGGCAATGAACTCGTGTCTTAATAAAAAAATATAGAAAATCAATATTACTTAGAAGGAGAACAAGGCATACAGCTTTAGTTATGATAATATTACCTACTACCATATTTAGTTATGATAAAGTTACCTATTTCCCTTTTCCCATATAGCTTTAGTTATGTTAAAGTTACCTGTTTCCCTTTTCCCAACTGGCAATACTTCGCACTCTTCATTACTCGTGATATCCATAAAAAAAATCATGATATAAGAAGCTGCTCGGCCGTCCTCCTTGACTTCCATCGAACGACTGAATGACACCCTTAGTGATACTGCTATCTCATGCCATCGCTGAGTACGAATGCTACCTTCAACTCATTTACATAATTGGATCGTCTTGGCCGAACTTAGATCAGTGAAGTTACTTAAAATCCCCTAGAATTCTTAAAGATACACAAAATAGTTCTAACAGCGAATTTGCGGAATTTACAAAAAAAATCTGAATAATTGCCTAAAAATATCTTCTTTCGAATATTGACACTAAAGCAAGGACGGCAACTTTGTTATTATATGTAAATGGAGGTTCTCAACAGCTGATTTTGGACAGAACGAAAATTAGGCCTGATAACAATATATATTTATTTATTTGAGGGTGTATACGTCAAATATTGTCATCGGTACTTCATGGCGAAAAATATTTGCCTGTATGCAGAGCCGAAAAAATATTGTTTACATAATAATAATTAAAAAAAAGCTTTTCCGTTTCCGTACAGTTTTATGGTCGCTTTGGAAAATCCTCAGTATCTGAAAATGGAAACACTTATCATTGGAATTACTACTGCTTTTTCTTGTAACTACAACATGCAGTTTCGCCAAACAAGCGAATGATGTGTCAAGCTGTTTATTTGCTGTAAGCGATGATGAAGAATTTTCTAAATTTGTTGTTCGTGTTTAGATTTTAGAATTTAAAATATACAATGTCTTCTGGATTAATTTTTGAATTCATTTTTCTAGCGAAAGTTGGAGCTCTTACGACTGGAATCCTATTGCATATATCTAAGTTTCTACCCGAGTCAACAAGTATATTCATAAGAGCAAAAGACTTCATATATATATGAATCTGCATGTATTAGTGTAGTATAATATCAATTTTATGGTCATATATCCGACTTTATTGACAGTATAAAAAGTCATGACATCATAGCCAATCCATTTGAAGGATTCGAAGACACCTTCACATGTACTGCGATAGAAATCATGTGTGTGTGTGTGTGTGTGTGTGTGTGTGTGTGTGTGTGTGTGTGTGTGTGTGTGTGTGTGTGTGTGTGTGTGTGTGTGTGTGTGTGTGTGTGTGTGTGTGTGTGTGTGTGTGTGGTGTGTGTGTGTGTGTGTGTGTGTGTGTGTGTGTGTGTGTGTGTGTGTGTGTGTGTGTGTGTGTGTGTGTGTGTGTGTGTGTGATTACCATAAATAGCTTTATTTCTGAGGCTGAAAGCCTCTGGTTGGCCAATCTTACGTAGTTACATGTAAGTATGGCATTTTCAATAGGTAATAGATTTTGCAGTTACCTAAAAGGGAAAATATACTATGTATGTAGTAGAGAACTGTCATAGACAATAGATTTGTATTCCTTCTTATCTTTTTTAAAGACAGGAATGGCAGAAAAACGTTAGGAATTTATTTAAGTGGAATGTTTGAAACGTTAACTGCAGTCTTTAATTCATCATTTAATCAGGAACTTTTTCTTTTGCTATGCTTAGTTTGATAGACCCAAATCTAAAAATCTGTTTAAC